TTTGCCGGTCTACATCGTGCCAACCTTTAGTTTGACTTTTATCATTATTGTGATGGTCTTCATCGTGCCAACCTTTAGTTTGACTTTTATCATTATTGTGATAGTCTTCATCGTGCCAACCTTTGGTTTGACTATTATCATAATTTTGCCGGTCTTCATCGTGCCCACCTTTGGTTTGACTTTTATCATTATTTTGATGGTCTTCATCGTGCCAACCTTTGGTTTGACTATTATCATAATTTTGCCGGTCTTCATCGTGCCAACCTTTGGTTTGACTTTTATCATAATTTTGCCGGTCTTCATCGTGCCAACCTTTGGTTTGACTTTTATCATTATTTTGATGGTCTTCATCGTGCCAACCTTTGGTTTGACTATTATCATAATTTTGCCGGTCTTCATCGTGCCAAACTTTGGTTTGACTTTTATCATTATTTTGATGGTCTTCATCGTGCCAACCTTTGGTTTGTCTATTATCATAATTTTGATGGTCTTCATCGTGCCAACCTTTGGTTTGACTTTTATCATTATTTTGATGGTCTTCATCGTGCCAACCTTTGGTTTGTCTATTATCATAATTGTGCCGGTCTTCATCGTGCCAACTTTTGGTTTGACTTTTATCATTATTTTGATGGTCTTCATCGTGCCAACCTTTGGTTTGACTTTTATCATTATTTTGATGGTGTTCGGTTAGTCCTTGAAGATCGCTTTTGTTGCCAAGTCTGACACACAATACGTAAGCTGAAAATTCAGTACGAACATCTTTATGCTCCTTAATGTTAAAATTTAAACGAAACCTAATTTTCATATTCGTAAATGTCCAAATTTATACCAACACTAATTTTCATATTTCTGAATGTCCAAATTTATACCAAGTCTAAATTTTCATATTTCTGAATTTCCAAATTTAGACCAACACTAATTTTCATATTTCTGAATGTCCCAATTCATACTAAGACTAATTTTCATTTTTCTGAATGTCCCCATTTATAAAAACACTAATTTTCATATTTCTGAATGTCCAAATTTATATTAACACTAATTTTCATATTTCTGAATGTCCGAATTTAAAGTAACACTATTTTTTCTATTTCTGAATTTCCCAATTAATACCAACACTAATTTTCATATTTCTGAATGTCCCAATTTATACCAACACTAATGTTCATATTATTGAATGTCCAAATTTAAACTAACACTAATTTTCATATTCCCGAATGTCCAAATTTATACTAACACTAATTTTTTTATTTCTGAATGTCCCAATTTATACCAACACTAATTTTCATATTTCTGAATGTCCAAATTTATACCAACACTAATTTTCATATTTCTGAATGTCCAAATTTATACCAACACTAATTTTCATATTTCTGAATGTCCAAATTTATACTAACACTAATTTTCATATTTCTGAATGTCCAAATTTATACCAACACTAATTTTCATATTTCTGAATGTCCCAATTTATACCAACATTACTTTTCATATTCCCGAATGTCCAAATTTATACTAACACTAATTTTTTTATTTCTGAATGTCCCAATTTATACCAACACTAATGTTCATATTTCTGAATGTCCAAATTTATACCAACACTAATTTTCATATTTCTGAATGTCCAAATTTATACCAACACTAATTTTCATATTTCTGAATGTCCCAATTTATACCAACATTACTTTTCATATTCCCGAATGTCCAAATTTATACTAACACTAATTTTATTATTTCTGAATGTCTCAATTTATACCAACACTAATGTTCATATTTCTGAATGTCCCAATTTATACTAACACTAGTTTTCATATTTCTGAATGTCCCAATTTATACTAACACTAATTTTCATATTCCTGAATGTCCCAATGTAAAATAATTTGTTCTCGCTGCCCTGGACCCCCACCTCGCAAAGTCAAACCTCATCTACATGTACACAACAGACCTTGTACATATATTCAGTATTGAACACACCAGACATTATACGAAAATTTATACAATAGACATCAGAATGTTAAATTATATATATATTATATATTTATTTATTTATTTGATGATATCCCGCAGATATCACTTTATAGGACAGCTACTCTATGACTATATGCAGCATTGCAATGGGTTAACTGCAACAATAGCAGATAAAAAACAGTTTGTACTCTTGAAAAATGTCATTTATTTTTAAAAAACCCAGTAAGTTTGGTACTTAAGATTCTACTCAGCTATATGAGAACATCACATTTGATAATATATCTATATATAGTTTTTCAGTCCCTGCATTCACCATCGCCGTTAACATCACCTTTATGTCATTCTTCTTTAAGACCATCGTCCACTCACCGTCTACCACATTTACATCTTCTTCTGCACCTCATCCATAAAGTCTAATGTATAGACATCCGCACCCTCTCCTTAACCCACATCGTCTTCCTCATCCAGACCTTTCCTGCACCTCGCCCACGCCGCCAACCGTTATCCACACCTTCACCCATCTTTTTTTCCTTTCATCCCAACCATTGTACCTCACCCACACCGTCTCCCTCACCCACACCGTCTCCCTCACCCACACCGTCTCCCTCACCCACACCGTCTCCCTCACCCACACCGTCTCCCTCACCCACACCGTCTCCCTCACCCACACCGTCTCCCTTTACGCACAACGCCTTCCTCATCGCAAATCTCTTTTTTGCACCTCGCCCCTACTGCATCCCTCATCCACACTTTCAAGTGCACCCCACCCACACCTCCTCCTTCATCCACACGTCCAAATGCACCTCACCTTCCACATTCAAACACACATGCAACATCGTGAACATTTGATCATGAACAGACGTTTTGAACTTTCGAGTTCGTAACTTGTCTTTTTTCTTTTTTTTTTGCCTGTACTTTTGTTGTTGAATCCCAGGTGCATGGGCGCCCGCAGGTAGGGGCAAGGGTGGGGGGGGGAAACTTGACCCCCCCCCCTGGATTGGATAAAAAAAATTTAGACAAAAATAGACCAAAAATGTATTAAAGTAAAGAGAAAATAAAGAGAAAGTAACTAAGCTGATGTCCTGTCCGTTCGTTCACCATACAGTAAATTAAAACAATATTAAAACATTGCTAAAAATTTTCCCCCTCCCCTGGAAAGGTAATCGATTTTTTTGCCCCCCCCCCTCTAGAAAGTTTTCTGCGGGCGCCCATGCCCAGGTCCTATTTAGTGTTTTAAAGTAACATTTGACAGTTGATATTAGACAGCATTCCAAACCTCAAGAATTAGATTAAGCCAGACCCCCGTGTTTATAAACCAGTATGTGCTATTTGTTTGAGACAATTGTAAAGTCACCTGGCATTGTTAAGTCATGTGGGACTGCATTTAGCTGTGGCACTTTAGACAGATGGGGTAATTTAGAGTTAATTGGCAATGTCGAGTTATGTGATAATGTAGAGCTATGTGGTAATGTGGAAAGATGTAATAATGTAGAGAGATGTATTAATGTAGAGTTTTGCGATAATATAGAGTTATGTGGTAATGTGGAGAGATGGGGTAATGTAAAGCTATGTGGTAATGGAGAGAGATGTGGTTATCTAGAGTTATGCGATAATTTAAAGGTATGTGATAATGTGGAGAGCTATGGTAATGTAGAGTTATGTGGTAATGTAAAGTTATGTGGTAATGTGGAGAAATGTGGTATGGTATAGAGATGTAGAGATGTAATAGTAGAGTTATGTGTAGTATAGACTTATGTGGCAATGTAGAGTTATGTGGTCACGTATAATATGTTTAGCGTCATGCCATACAATTTTTCGTTCGGGGCGCACACTTGTATGTCAATGTAAAAACTTTGTACACTGACAGAAACGTATACTAATAATTTTGTTACTACACTCTTCATTCGTTGGTATGCTTTTTATGTGAGAGTTAATGCATGATCCTGCCCTTACGTGACCATTATTGTGTCAAGGCCGTCATTAAACTAAAAACTAACGCACATTTCAATGACAGCCTTGAGCCACAATTCCATGGGACAGTAACATTTGATTGTAACTGACCTGTCCCCCCCACCCCAACCCCCCTTTCGAACGCCGGTGGCTTATCTTCTTCCTGTCAGATGTCACGATGTTTAAAACGGAGTTCGAAGATTGGTTATCTGCTTGCTAGGTCGTACCAACTCACTACTTGAGAGGAGTAACTGTTATTCACTGGCACCATCGTCAACATTTCTCACGACACAACACTGCAGGTAAGACGGACTGAAATTACGGGACCAACCCAATTCGTTTAGAGTGTAAAAATGGACGACGATTTCCATTCAATATATTAATTTTGAGTGTGTTTTTTCCCCGTTTGTCCAGCGATTAAACCTTTAATCCTAGCATTGTGTTTACAGTTAGGGTTACGGATGGGATTAAGGATAGGGTTAATGGTTAAGATCAAGTTATGGTTAGTGTTAAGATTATGATTTAAGTTTAGTGTTCTTAATCTTAAGCATATAACACTAAACGTAACCATAATCCCAAAGTTTATAGCTCTGACTTGGTAAATATGTTCGTGTTAATTCGGGGTTAGGGTAAAGTTATGAATAAGTTTAGGGTTATGTTTAAGATTGAGATTAGGGTTAGGGTTATTTCTTCATCCGCGGGTCTTATTTTATTTTTCAGTATACGAATAAATGCAAATGAAAAACATTTTTATAAATCTATGTCATGTCATCCCTAGTAACTTCTCGACAGTAACGCTTTGCCAGGAAGTTTGGGTTCTTTACGTGTAAAATTTTGTTTTATCGCCACATTAACCTGGCATTTTCAGTCTTCCTCTTACTGTCTCGAGGTACTCTGACTGTCCAAATACAACTGAATGTCGTAAGTGCAAATGACGGTCACTGATAGCCCTAGGAAACTCTGACTGTCATAAGTGCCAATGACAGCCCTAAGTTCACCTGACTGTCCTAAGTGCCAATGACAGTCCTGAGTTCATCTGACTGTCCTAAGTGCCAATGACAGTCCTAAGTGACTGTCCTAAGTGCCATTGACAGTCCTAAGTTCATCTGATTGTCCTAAGTGCCAATGACAGACCTAAGTTCATCTGACTGTCCTAAGTGCCAATACAGTCCTAAGTTCATCGGACTGTCCTAAGTGCCATTGACAGTACTAAGTTCATATGACTGTCCTAAGTGCCATTGACAGTCCTAAGTTCATCTGACTGTCCTAAGTGCCAATGAGAGTCCTAAGTTCATCTGACAGTCCTAAGTGCCAATGAGAGTCCTAAGTTCATCTGACTGTCCTAAGTGCCAATGAGAGTCTTAAGTTCATCTGACTGTCCTAAGTGCCAATGAGAGTCCTAAGTTCATCTGACTGTCCTAAGTGCCAATGAGAGTCCTAAGTTCATCTGACTGTCCAAAGTGCCAATGACAGTCCTAAGTTCATCTGATTGTCCTAAGTGCCAATGACAGTCCTAAGTTCATCTGACTGTCCTAAGTGCCATTTATTTTAAAGCGCCGCTGACCGCCCTACCTGCAATGCATTACTACGCAGCCCTTGTACTGACGGTCATCACCGGACTGACCACTGCCGCTCTCCCTGCCCAGGCCAAGAACATGTTTTTAACTAAACACAACACAGCTAGGGACGTCGCACACGTTCCACATCTGGTATGTAGATAAGTTGATCCACAGACCGTAGGTGCTGGAGTATGTTTTGGGCGACGAATCCCGAGTGGTATAATTAGCTTATAATTTAAGTATTAAAGAGATATTGAAAATAGGACATTACTCTGTACTTACAATTATATGAATAAAATCACAACAGATGCATTTTTAAGAAATGATCTTTTATGAACTGAATCTTTGTTAAATGGCGTCTTCTCCTGGGTCCTAAATGCTTAAAGTTGTATTTCTCATTTTTCCTTTTTTGTTTCCTCACGAGGAGTGTTGGATTATACATTTTTGTTGTGTTAGTGTAGACCTAGAGTATTACATCTGCCACATTGGCTTTGTCTTATTGTTTCATGTCACATCACGTCATCCAAAAAAAAATATATCTGATTACCGTTCTTCTTCTTCTTCTTCTATATCTTAAGGGCCCACGATCAATTTATTGATCATTTTGGCTCCTGTGCATGTAGAGGGGATTTGCAATGTTTCTGTGCCTGATGTTCATGAGGATATTTCACTGATTGCAAGGGCTATTTTGTGAGGGTATCATGCACTGGGGATTGAAAGGTTGTCACCCTAGTTTACGGCTTGTCTTGTTCTACTTCGCTCCACTTTTTTCTCCATCACAATATTTCTTTTTAAGTGGGTCAGAAAACGTAGGCTTAATATACACTGTTTAGAATTAACCGTGTTTTTTCCCCAGAGTTCCAGTGTCTCATAATAACGAGGTTTTTTTTTTTCCTTCTTGTAACAAAAAGAAAATAATAATAATTTCTGCGCTGACTGTTGAAACTAGGAATGGCGAGCGAATACAAAAGACATTTAACAAAGAAACGTATATTTACTCTATTATGATTAAATGTCAATGTGTATTTAAACACTAGGAAACACTGGAACATTAACCAACCGAAAAAAGGATTTATGAACTGTTGGACGTTTGTTATTTGTTTTTTCCAGGCGTGGAGCGCAGCCCTCGAGACCTACGCCAGAAATTGGGGGCTTAAGTGTCTGTGGCAACACAGCAATGGGTCCTACGGGGAAAATATTTACTCCTCCTCTCGTAAGTCTACTTTGAAACTGAGATTTAGCGACGCATTGGTAATCATTGTTTAATTCTAATTTCGCCCGGTTACAATGTGCTTAAAGAAGCTGGCAAGACTTGAGTTTTACTTAAAATAAATCAATGGACATTTAAAAAAAAAAAATTGTACGATGTTTGAAAGGTAATTGAAAATTATAGAATGTTTGTTAAAAGAATAGACAATTACAGAGCGTTTGAAAGATAATTGTCGATTAAAGAATGTTTGAAAGATAATTAGACAATTATAGAATGTTTAAAAGATAATAGACAATTATAGAAAATTGATAAGATCATAGACTATTATAGAAAATTTGAAAGATAATTGACAATTACACACTGTTTGAAAGATAATAGACAATCATAGAATTTTTTGAAAAATAATAGACAAATATTGAACGTTTATAAAATAATCGACAATTATAGAATGTTTGAACGATAATCGACAATTATAGAATGTTTGAACGATAATCGACAATTATAGAATGTTTGAAAGATAATCGACAATTATAGAATGTTTGAACGATAATCGACAATTATAGAATGTTTGAAAGACAATCGACAATTATAGAATGTTTGAAAGATAATCGACAATTATAGAATGTTTGAACGATAATCGACAATTATAGAATGTTTGAACGATAATCGACAATTATAGAATGTTTGCAAGATAATCGACAATTATAGAATGTCTGAAAGATAATCGAAAATTATAGAATGTTTGAAAGATAATCGACAATTATAGAATGTTTGAACGATAATCGACAATTATAGAATGTTTGAACGATAATCGACAATTATAGAATGTTTGAAAGATAATCGACAATTATAGAATGTTTGAACGATAATCGACAATTATAGAATGTTTGAAAGATAATCGACAATTATAGAATGTTTGAAAGATAATCGACAATTATAGAATGTCTGAAAGATAATCGACAATTATAGAATGTTTGAAAGATAATCGACAATTATAGAATGTTTGAAAGATAATCGACAATTATAGAATGTTTGAACGATAATCGACAATTATAGAATGTTTGAAAGATAATCGACAATTATAGAATGTTTGAAAGATAATCGACAATTATAGAATGTTTGAAAGATAATCGACAATTATAGAATGTTTGAAAGACAATCGACAATTATAGAATGTTTGAACGATAATCGACAATTATAGAATGTTTGAAAGATAATCGACAATTATAGAATGTTTGAACGATAATCGACAATTATAGAATGTTTGAAAGATAATCGACAATTATAGAATGTTTGAAAGATAATCGACAATTATAGAATGTTTGAAAGATAATCGACAATTATAGAATGTTTGAAAGACAATCGACAATTATAGAATGTTTGAACGATAATCGACAATTATAGAATGTTTGAACGATAATCGACAATTATAGAATGTTTGAACGATAATCGACAATTATAGAATGTTTGTACGATAATCGACAATTATAGAATGTTTGAACGATAATCGACAATTTATAGAATGTCTGAAAGATAATCGACAATTATAGAATGTTTGAAAGATAATCGACAATTATAGAATGTTTGAAAGATAATCGACAATTATAGAATGTTTGAACGATAATCGACAATTATAGAATGTTTGTACGATAATCGACAATTATAGAATGTTTGAACGATAATCGACAATTTATAGAATGTCTGAAAGATAATCGACAATTATAGAATGTTTGAAAGATAATCGACAATTATAGAATGTTTGAACGATAATCGACAATTTATAGAATGTCTGAAAGATAATCGACAATTATAGAATGTTTGAAAGATAATCGACAATTATAGAATGTTTGAAAGATAATCGACAATTATAGAATGTTTGAAAGGTTTTACCATGCTATAAAAGGATATGAAACGTCATTTAAAAAAAGTTATGAAATGTTTGAAGGTTGTATAACAAATAATCAAAGAATAGGATATGTTATGCAAGGTTATAAAATCCTTCACTTTAGGTATCCCGTCTTGTACTTTAGACAGTTACTTCACTTCTCATCGTGTAGCTATTTATAGAAGTTATAGTTAATCTCATTGGGGCAAATATATATAGATATAGATTTATTAAATCAGTATTAATTGTGAATTAAAAAAATAATAATATTTGATTAGTTCTTTCTATTGTCTTCTCCCTAAAGCTAAAAAGAATAATCTCACAGTACTAGCCAGGAGTGCGGCCGACATGTGGCTTGCGGAGAAACCAAGTGGGGGTCACTACGTCAACGTAAGTTTTTGGAGTTAATGGTTATTACTTCCCTTGGAATTTTTTTTTTTTTTTTAAAGCCCCTTTTTAAAAAGAAAAATTAACTTTTAGGCTGGAGAGTAATTTTAAATGAAGAGTCGGAAAGATACAATAATCTATGAAACATTCGAACCTTGAGGATAAGACGAGTTGCGATTTTTGTGTAGGCATGAAAAATACAAATTGCACTAATGCACTGGTTCTCAACCTTCCTAATGCCACGACCCTTTAATACAGTTCCTCATGTTGTAGCGACCTCCAGCCACAAAATTATTATCTTTGATGCTTTATAACTTAATAAAGTATATGCGTTTTCCGATGGTCTTAAGCGACCCTTATGAAATGGTCGTGCGACCCCCAAAAGGATCGTGATCCACAGGTTGAGAACCGCTGCACTAATGCATTAAAGCAGCCCAGGAAACAAAGAGGACATGGTCTTGGAGTGAACGATCTTTTTAGTTTTTTTGTTTTAGTTTTAAAAAACGGAAGGCTGATATATGGTATAAATTTTGTCCCATGTGACTTAATTAATATCCTGATGTCAAAACAGGTTACAGGAAATTTGATCGAAAGAAATTTCGTTCAAAAAGAAATTTGATGCAAAATTGTATCGTAAAAATTGAAAAGAAGATTCGACCAAATTTCCATTCGATCATATTACCGTCGACGAAATTTCTTTCGATCAAATTTCCGGATACGGTCAAAACATGGGGGTGGGGGGTGGGGGTGGCTATATGATTTTAAATGACTTCTGGTGTCCTAATACGATATTGATGTCATTTTCAGATGGTGAGAAACGCCTACAAGCACGTGGGCTGTACCATAGTCCACTGTACCAACGCACCTCTGAACAATTTCGTCATATGTGATTACAGGTAACGAAGTTCACACCTCTATAGGGTTGACTGGGAAGACGTTGTTTTCCTGACAAGTTGGTTGATACGTTCAGCCACAAAGGAGTGTAACTAAATTGTATGTTGATCACAAATATTTTGATTGAGTTATTAGTGCTGAATTTAACATTTCCTTTTATTTTATTTATAATTTTATCTACAAAACAAAATGGTTTAGGTTGGGGTAAGGTAGTGGATAGTTTGGTGGTAGATGGTGTAGAAGTAGATGTTGTAGTAGTAGATGGTGTAGTAGTGGATGGTGTAGTAGTAGATGGTTTAGTAGTAAATGGTGTAGTAGAACATGGTGTGGCAGTGGATGGTGGGTTAGCGGATGCAGGGGTAGTGGATGGTGTATTTATAGATGGTGTAGTAGAGCATGGTGAAGTAGTGGACGATGGTGAAGTGGAATATGAGATACTGGATGGTGAGGTAGTGTATGATGGTGAAGTGGAAGATGAGATACTGTATGGTAGGGTTGTGGGTGATGGTGAATTGGAAGATGAGATACTAGATGGTGTAGTAATGGATGATGGCGAAGTGGAAGATGAGATACTGGATTGTGAAGTAGTGGATGATGGTGAAGTATAAGATGAGAAACTGGATGGTGGGTAGTGGATGGTGCGGTACTGGAAGATGAGATACTGTATTGTGGGGTAATGGACGATAGTCAAGTGGAAGATGAGATACTGGATGGTGGGGTAGTGGATGATGGTGAAGTGGAAGATGAGATACTGGATGGTGGTGTAGTGGAAGATGGTGAAGTGGAAGGTGACATACTGGATAGTGGGTTAGTGGATGGTGGGGTAGTGGATGGTGGGATACGGTAGGTTAGGGTATGGTAGAGTAGGGTAATGTAGTAGTGTAGAGTAATAGATGATGGTTTAAGGTAAAGGATTGTTTTGATGGATATCGTTGGGCATATCGGGGTAGTATATTTATGTTACATGTGATCTCATCTCTGTTTCATCATGTTCGTCGACTCAATTTCGTTTCCAAGTTAAAGTTTTAATGACCTCAGCCTTTGCTTGTATTCTCAGCGGCTAACCGAATCGGATGGTTCTGTGGACGCATTGCGTCATGACGTCATCATTCGGCTGTTACGAAAAGAAAGTCTTTGGTTCAAGGCTATTTTTCTTTTAACCATCAACCTTCATTTATTTTAAAGAAGAAGCAAAGATATTGCGACAGCTGGAGAGGAAGATAAAAAACTAGTCAAATTATAGTTGATGTTCTAGGCATTCAATTTTATTTGTGGAAAAAAAAAGAAAATTTGTTAGTGCCAACAAATTGTTGTTAAATTGTGTGCATGCGGGCGTATCTGTGTGCGTGTGTTTGTGGGTGCGTATGTGTATGTGTGATTGAGTTTTATTGTTTGTTAAAGACCAGGAGGTGAATTCTATGATAGCAGACAGAAAATGGGCTCGTCATTTGACAGCACTGCCAAGTTATGACAGCGATTTAAGTTTTCAGAGAAGGGGGGATGTGGAGGGAGGAAGTGAGAGAAGGAGTGCAGATGGAGGAGAGAGGGAGGGAAGCAAGTATGGAAGAAGGAGGGGAGGGGAAGGGAAGAAAAGAGTGAAGAGTGTGAGAGGGATGTGTGTGGGAGGGAGGGAAGTTGGGGGGGGGAAGGGAGATGGGGGCATGTAGAGGAGTGATGAAATAAAGAAGTAAATGGAGGGGGATGCTTGAGACGTAGGAAAGGAGGGAAGAGAGAGGGATGGTCAATGACAGGGAGGGTTAGAATGAAGGAGCTGAGAGGGGGAGAGGCCTGGGAGGGGAAGCTTGAAGAAGGGGGGAGAGAGAGGGGGGAGTTGTTGTGAGGGAGGAATGGAAGGAAAGGGGGACAAAGGAGGAGTGTGAGAGGAAGGGATGGAAAGAAGGAGAGGGTGGGGCGGAAGAAAAAAGGTAATATGTAGGGAAGAGGAGAGGGAAACTCTAAACCAGCGGTTCTCAACCTGTGGGTTGCGACCCCTTTTTGGGGTCGAACGACCCTTACTCAGGCGTCACCTAAGACTATCGAAAAACACATATTTATAAAGTAGCAACGAAAATGATTTATGGTTAGGGGTGGTCACCACAACACGAGGAATTGCAATTAAGTATCTCGGCATTAGGAAGATTGAGAACCACTGCTCTAAACTGCTACTCTAGCGAGCGAGATGGGAGGAGGGAGTGAAACTAACCCTCTCAGTCAACAACATGCACGTGGAATAACTCGTATCATGGTGCGAATATCTTGTCTATTTATTCTATGTCCCAAGATGTGTGTGATATAATTGCATGTATTACATTCATTTTCCTCATTACAACCGGTTTAAAAGCCCTGACCTCGGAGATCTTAGACTGTTGTGTTTCTGTAACTATTTAAATATCTATAAAATGTCCAGATAGGGATATTAGACTGTTGTGTTTTTGTAACTATTTAAATATCTATGCAATGTCCAGTTAGGAGATATTAGACTGTTGTGTTTATGTAACTATTTAAATATCTATGCAATGTCCACTTAGGGGATATTAGACTGTTGTGTTTCTGTAACTATGTATATATCTATGCAATGTCCAGTTAGGAGATGTTAGAGTCCAGTGTTTCCCAATCTATTTTGTGCCATGCGCCACCTTAGCCTTTCTACAATTCGTATGCCCCCTATGTATGGTATACATAATTCGTAATATTCAAAAATAGTGTTGTTCATAGTAGACGGTTGCTTTTCAAATTCTACACCCGTCATTTTTCTGATTGCCCCCCTAAACAATCAATTTGCGCTATTATGGGGCGTGGGCCTCACGTTTAAACACAGGGTATTACACTGTTGTTTTTCTGCATATACATGGTCAAGTTTGAGGAATTGATATTGATAATGCAAGAAACAAAACCTACTTATCTACGCGTCAGTCTCAACCTACCCCCAGCCAAAACACCCCGAGGTATGCTCATATTTTACCACTCTTTACTAAGGCCTCTGAAAAAAAAAGGGGGGGGGGATCTATGCATAAATCCTAAATTAATTTACTCAGAGGAGAACCGCTGCGATTGGATTGAGGTTGGAGATTGTAGGTTTGAGATTGTAGGTTGGAGATTGGAGATTGGAGATTGTAGGTCGGAGATTGTAGGTTGGAGGTTGTAGGTTGGAGTGTCTGGTTTTAGATAGTAGGTTTGAGACTGCAGGTTGTCGATTGTAGGTTGGAGTTTTTAGGTTGGATTTTGTAGGTTGGAGATTGTAGGTTGGAGATTGTAGATTGGATGTTGTTGGTTGGAGGTTGCGATCTGTTGCCTTTTGTTAATATTAAGATTCCGAATGTAGCTAATGGGAGTATATTATTTATGTTTGATTGAATAAAAAAAACACTTAAAAGACGCCCCCCCCCCAAAAAAAAAAAAAAGCACGGCGCCTTGAACCTCTCAACACCAGCGTAGCACTCGTCGATACATTGGGGCTGTAATATGTTTCGGTGTACATTGTTTTATGGCGGCGAGTCTCAAACCTTTTCTTTAACCTCTCTATTGGGTTTATTTATTCTCATCTATTTTTCTTAACCGCTATTTGCAGGTACAGGCTCATCGTTACCATTGAACTTGATTACATTTGAAATCGCCAAAAGCAATTTGAAATTTAAATAGAAATATGCAATAGCATTCGTGTGCTCATTTACCAGCATTAAAATATCGAGAATGCGTCATTTCAAATCTTGACAATAAACCTAGACATTTGACATAGCAGTTTATCTCTTCCATGATACACCTCTAAATATACACACTAGACGCCCTTCGGTCTTCGCGAGACGATCGAGTAGCTTTTGAAATTTCATCAAATGGCCTACGAGGCCGATCCTAGAATGGCGGTGTCTGTGTAGGCCGCTGTTCTAGGAGGAACTCCCAGACACTCTATGAACATTATATCATCTAGATCAGGGGTCGGGAACCTTTTTGTCCGAAAGACCCATGGAAACCACATATTTTGAAAAGTAATTCTGTGAGAGCCATACATTATGTTTAAAACTAAAAATTCAAGTAAATGTGTGCATTTTGTGTAATTTAAACACGAAAAATGCAATAGTTATGTCTCTGAATTCTTTTTAATAACATTGTTATTCTCTTGCTAATCAATAATGAGTATTTCTTGCCATTAACGCGACTATTTTTTTAAAATCGAACATTTGTCTGGGAGCCAGATGCAGCCATCAATAGAGCGACATCTGTCTCGCGAGCCATAGGTTCCCGACCCTAGTATCTAGATACTATATTTAATCTATCTGAAGAGTTCGACTGAATTGTTCCGTCCAGTGGATATTAAACACTAAGTTGATACCGCAGAGACTATTTGGATGTATTGAAATTTTTATATTTAAAAATGTTTCGCGGAAGTGACGGAGTCCTTCAATTACTTTTTTTTCTTCCACTGTTTTTTTCCGTTCGTCTGGTGGCTGGCAAAAATATATACGTGAAGATGGCAAAAAATAGTAGCGTAGACGGCAAAATATATTGCTGTAGAAAGAACATTATGGGTTTTTTTATTTTTTTATTTATTTTTTTTTTACATCCTTTTGAAATAGTAGAATTTATTCCGATGGCTTTATGTTAAAGACGTAACGAAAACTCCTAAAACTGAATAGATCTAAGACTGACTTGTGGCCATTCATTAAAATGTAGGAATGAAATTTCAGATCAAATGACATCTCTGATAAAATTAATATCATTATTGTTTGGTGGCTTTATATAGCGCAATACCCCTCAGCCCAGGGCTAGGCTCACTGTGCTTCACATAAAAAATTAGTGATAACAGAAAATTATACATTTAAAAACAACAGTTAGGTGAAAAGCTTGACCTCACCCACCCAAGTACGATCTACCCCTGTCTAGCCATGGACAGCACCCATAGTCTCAGATGCAATGAACCTCTCAGATATAGGGAAATCTCAGATAGCCATAGGTTCAAAACTCATGGCCCTCGATTGCATTTGTCATCAGAACACACAAAAAGTTCGCTTTTTTTTATACAGAAATCTAGGCGTACCATTAACACCAGCGATCATACCCCTGGTCATTACCCATCCTACCCCCTGCCACTACCCACCATTCCCCTGGGATAACCCGTTATATCCCCTGCCACTACCTAACATACCCCCTGGTACTTCTCACCACACCCCCCTCCCGCTACTCACCACACCGCCTGCCACCACCTCCGCCCCCTGCCACTACTCACCATACCGGCTGACACTGGCCACCAAACCCCGCGATCTGTGAGCCAGAAAACTTGAATTCGATTCCAAGATCAGGGCTAATATGAATTGATTAGAACTGTAGCGCATGCTGAGTTCCTCACCTTCAATAGACAATGGTCGCAGTAGACCCAGCCCAGCGAGGTGGTAGGAGAAACTTGGAATGAACATCATTCTGTTCTTGTTTCACGACGCTTCGAGACCAAAATAGGGATTAGCTTAAGGCTGAACAGTACTGTCTTACACATCAAGTATAACCCTGTCCTACACGGTGAATAGATTCCTGTCCTGCACGGCCAATAGAATCATGTCCTGCACTGCAATAAATATAATCCCGTACTCCGCATCAACTATAATCCTGTCCTACACAAAAATGTTAGGTATATACATATATGACCTACACAGCAAATAAAATTATGTCCTACTCAGCAAGCATTATCCTGTCCTAACACAATGCAAATATTTTTGTCCTACGCAACACTTCCTGTAATAAAAAGAAAATAAAATCATGTCATACACAGCGATGATACACATGTCCTACAGAGCAAGAATTTTCCTATATCCCTCACAGCAAGAAAGTTCCGCCCTACACAGCACATATAATTATGTCACACACATTCAATATAAATATGTCCTACACAAAAATATGTAAGTATGGCCTACCCAGAAAATATGTAATTTTGTCCTCCACAGAAAATATATAAGTATGGTTTTCTCCCGCACAGTCAACAAAATACGGTCTTTCCCAGAAAGATAGGTTTGTCCTACATAGAAAATATAAGTATGTCATACACAGCACATATAGTTATGTCCTACACAGCACATATAATTATGTCATATAGAGCGAAGATCGTTTTTCGCCGCACAGTCACTATAATCCTGTTCTTCACAGAAAAGATATAGGTAAGTCCTACGTAGCAAATAGAATCCTGTACTGCACATCA